TTTTGAATAAGATTTATTATCCATTTATTTTATTTTAAAAACCGGATTATTTATATATTTCGGATATTTTAATTACAGTAAAAACTATATTTTCTTAATTATGTAAAAAGGTCCAAAAATTCCCAAATGTAGCTCTGATTTTCTTAGTTATTTTATTGGTGAGTAATTGGTATTTATTTAATTGATTATTTTATATAATAAATATTATTTACACAATTATCTTTAATTCCTAAGACCTTGCAAATTAACTTCCTAAATTATACTAGAGAGGTTCGAAAATTTGGGCTATGTATGGATGCTCAATATTTTCGACCCTCTTGTATGATTTTTGGGGGAAATTATTTCCTTAAAATCTCTTATTTTCCTTATTTCCATTTTTATATCTCCTAAATATTTGATCATCTTACTCTCCTACCTTATATTTCCCTTGATTATTCCCCAAGCAATATCCCTTACTATATTATTTTTCATGACAACACACCTTCCATATTTTATTATGCACAATCTCCTTATTATCAAAACTTTCCATATTTTTTATTCACATCTCCAAGTAATTCTTTAATTCTTCTTGCCATAATTTTTCCTACATTTGCTTACCATAATTCAAACCTATGCTAGCCTATAAATACCCCTCTAATTCATGACCAAACACTCACACAAATTCTCTTAATTCTCTCTTATTCTCGATCTTCTCCTTATTTTCTTTTCTTTTTCTTCTCCTTGTGCACCACCACCACCGTACACCACCACCACATCCGACGCCACTTGACGCCGCCAGCCACCACCGACATCCACCAGCTGCTACCTTGTTGCCACCTCTCCTCTTTTCCTTAGGTTTTCTACCTTTTCTTTTTCTCTTCTCTTATTTGATTAATTATTATTATAATGGGGGATTTATAATAATTATTATGACTAGTTTTAATTAAATAAAATCAGATTTTTTTTAATGATGTTTTGAGAAAATAATTTAAAAGGTTCATATACATATAGTTGGGGGTTTTTTATTTAATTGTTGTGATTATTTGTGAACCTTATATTAATTAAGGTTATATTTATTTTTAGGGTGTTTTCAATCAAGATTCTTGAGTTTCTTTGTGTGGTTTTGCTAGCAAGGATCGAGGTACGTTTAGGTGGCTAGATATCTATGAAAGTGATTGGTTGAATAACATGTTTATATGATTTTTATTGGTGATTGAATTAAATTTATTTGAATTGTGATTTATGAAATAAAATATGATTTTATTATATGTTTTAATAAATTGAACTTTATATTATGTCTTGAATAATAGAGTTGTGATTTGTGAAATAAAAGAATGTTTAAATAATTGGTTTTAATAAATAAATTGAGGATTGATTTTATATCATGTCTTGATCAGTTAAAATTATTGATCATGTTTTAAATGTTTGATTTTGAAAGCATGTGGAATTAAATAAAAAGGAGTTGAATTATATTGGAATTATTGAATAGGATTTATTGAATTACTATTAAAGCTTTATAAGCATGTTAGTAATCCCACTATGCGGATTTGGTTTGATAAGATTTTGGACTTTGTATGATCGATTCTTTCCTCAATAATAGCCTTGTAATATAAGGAGATTAGCTTGGAGGGTGTGCACACTTGGGCGATGAATTGGATTTGAAAAGGAATTGATTTTAATATTTATTATTGAGTTATTGGAATGATTTGAAATATTGGAATTGGTTTTGAATCATGAATTGGAATTGATTTTAAAAGCATGTTTGCTAATATATTGAGTTTAATTATCTTCCACTTATCATACTTAGCATATTTTTCTAATTTGTATTTCCTATTTATTTTGGTTCGCCCTGTTTACCTTAATGGTAAGCAGTGTTGACTAATTTCAGGTGAAGTCAATATGTGAGCATATGGAGTCTCGGTAATGTCTTCTTCTAGATTAGGAATGTTGGTCTTTTTCTTTATTTTGAGTACTCATGACAATGTATACTATTTATAGTTTTATTAATAAAAAAGTATTGAAGTTTTCTCTGTAAAGTATTTGTTTTATTAAGTAAGTTTGGTAGCCTTGCATAATCAAGTGACGATAATACACCTAAGTCTATCTCTATGGTATAATTATACGTATTTTAATAGTATTTCCGTAGAGGGAGATTTGGGGGTGTTACAAGTAGTATTAGTTTTTCGGTCCTAAAAAGATTAAAATTAGAGTAATAAAAAAATTTTAAAAAAAATTGTGGGTTGACTTAAGACAGCATATAGGATAGGTAGAGTTTCGCATTGTGTGTATAGGTCAAAAGATTTATCTTTATATAAAACTATTTTCTTATTTGTATAAAGATGAATGAGAAAAGGATTCTCGAGTTCTCTACTTAGGCCTATAATGACATGCCTCTCTGTCTAGGAAAGGCTTGCCTCGACGCTATAGGTAACTTTCCTGGGAGATGCGGGCTCGACCATCCTATATCATGACTCAAGTAACATTATTATTTTTCGAAAATAAAAAGAATTGAAATTAATTGAAACTTGAGTATGTGATTATGTGTGCATTAAAGTTGGTGTTAAAACACCCCAGGCTATGTGTAGGAGGTATGAAAATTTTGAGTTATTACCCATGGTTGGGTGATCTTAAGTTATACTTGGTTGGTTAAGTTATGAATTGCTTATTGCAAATGGATTTTGAATTGAATTGTTTATGTGATTTAGCGTAGAATTGCTTGTTTTGCATGTGTATGTGAAACAGATGGAAAAGGTTGATGAAATGAGAAAGAATTACTTTAACTTGCACTACTTGAAAGATAATGGAGTCACAGTTAGTGAATTCATAACTGGAATTGTCACTTTGGCCTTAACCCTTTATGAGAAGTATAATCTAGAAGCCTTGACCCAACCACCTTGGATGATTCTTTTGGCCTTAGCCCATTTACCTAGAAGTATGGGGATGTGATCAATAAGAATGGGATATGGAATGAAAAGCATCATCATGAAAAGAAATGGTTAGCAAGCATGTCTAGCCTTAAGAGGGACTTACACTATGTGGAGCGTAAGTATAAACCTAGTAGAAAAGTTGTCAACATTCCCAAGCCTTCAAAGGATTTCACCTTTGGAGAAGATGACCAAATGTACTACTTAAATGCCCAATCGCCTTTTTCTTATCGAAGGGAGCGTCATGAATTTGTGGAATCTAGTGATGAGTCCATACCACCTCTTGGTATGAGTAAGAATTATCCTTCTCCTAGCCGTACTCTAAGTTATGAACCTCCAAAAAGTCCTAGCCCAAAAGTCCATTTCCATGTTGCAAAAAGGTCCAAAACTCGTGTCCAAGTTGCCAAAGAAAAAGCATCAAGTCCAAATGCCCAAAAATCATGGAAATTAGTCAACACGATGAGAATTTGGACTTGATGCTTTTTTTTTGGTAGCTTGGGCACGAGTTCAAGGACTTTTTGCAACATGGAAATGGACTTTTGGGCTAGGACGTTTTGGAGGTTCATAACTTGGAGTACGGCTAAGACAAGGGTAATTCTTGCTCCTACGAAGAGGTGGTATGGACTCATCACTCGATTTCACAAATTCATGACGCTCCCTTCGATAAGAAAAAGATAATTGGGCATTCAGGTAGTACATTTGGTCATCTTCTCCAAAGGTGAAATCCTTTGGGCTTGGGAAAGCTGACAACTTTTCTCCTAGGTTCATACTTACGCTCCACATAGTGTAAGTCCCTCTTAAGGCTAGACATGCTTGCTAACCATTTCCCTTCATGATGATGCTTTTCGTTCCACATCCCATTCTTATTGATCACTTCCCCATACTTGTCAAAGAGAGATTGATATTTCTTGACAATAGGTAAATGGGCTAAGACCAAAATAATCATCCAAGGTGGTTGGGTCAAGACTTCTGGATTATAATTATCATAAAGGGTTAATGCTAAAGTGACAATTCCAGTTATGAACTCACTAACTTTGACTCCATTATCTTTCAAGTAGAGCAAGTTAAAGTAATTCTTTCTTATTTCATCAATCTTTTCCTTCTGTTTCACATACACATGCAAAACAATCAATTCAATGCTAAATCACATGAACAATCAATTCAAAATCCATTTGCAATAAGCAATTCATAACTCAACCAACCAAGTATAACTCAAGATCACCCAACTATGGGTAATAACTCAAATTTTTCGGACCTCCTACACATACCCTAAGGTGTTTTAACACCAACTTTAATGCACATATAATCAAATACTCAAGTTTCAAATAATTTCAATTCTTTTTATTTTCGAAAAATAATAAAAATGTACTTGAGTCATATTATAGGACGATCGAGCCCGCGTCTCCCTGAAAAGTTACCTACAGCGTCGAGGCGAGCCTTTCCTAGACAGAGAGACGTGCCCATTATAGGCCTCCGTAGAGACACTAGTACATAATTAACCTCAAGTAACACCCAAAAGGTGTTACATAAAGTGGTAAAAGTGTTATTGTAGATAATAGGTAACACTTTAGTGGGTGATACATCCGCCCCTGTTACCTAAGGCCTTATGTAACACTTTGGACAACGTATGGTAACACTTTAAAAAGTGTTACTATAAACTCTCTTATGTAACACTTTTTTATATTATTGGTATCATTATAAAGTGTTACTTTTTATTTCTTAGGTACCACTTACTTATTTTTAGTAACATTTTTCAATCATATAGTAACACTTTTTTCGAAATTGTGTATCACTTTTGCGAACAAATGTATCACCTTGTTGATTATTAGGTAACATTTTTCAATCATCTTTCGACATTTAGTAACACTTCATTCAATCTGATGTATAATAATAATAATAATAATAATAATAATAATAATAATAATAATAATAATAATAATAATAATAATAATAATAATTATAATAATGATGATAATAATAATAATAATAATAATAATAATAGTAATAATAATAATAACGATAATAGTAAATTGATTGACTTTGTAAGTTTTTTGATATTTTATAATAATAACAATAATAACGATAATAACAAATTGATTTAACATTGAAAATAAATTTATTGAATGAATATATTTTACATTAGTATAAATACAAATACACAAGTGTACTCTTTTTCACAGTAGAAAGACTAGGAATCCTAAAGACAAGGGGCTATTATGCCCCATCTCATCGCAACTACTAGTTAATCCGTTAGCATGATCACCTCTCTGAAAAACAGAGGCACATGGAAATGACTCCAAAACGGCAATCCCTTTCTCGGCGTTTCATCTCATGGAGTAAAGTAGCTACACTTCGAGCACCTGAAAAAAGAGCAAGAGTAGGAACTGAGAACAACAATACACTAATCGTGCATCAAGGCCTTTTTGTTCGCTAACTAAATTTTATAGATTATTTCACACACTAAAATCAAATTTAGAAATTTGCTGATAACCAGATTTTACAAAGTACAACTGATTGTAGCTGATATATATATATATATATATTTTTATTTCTTCCCAAACAAAGCCAAACTCATTATTCAATAAGAATTTTCTCTCTAGTAAGCAAAAATGCATCCATGTAGCTCCCAAAGGATGTCCAAGAGTTATTTCTCCTGTTTTAACATTAACATTTACTAAATCGAGGTTTCGTTATTTACGACAGTAAACATACTATGATGCAAAGGCCTGTATTGAAAATGGATACTAATTACTAAATATGAGGCAGCTACTAGTAGAAAATATCAAAAAGACACCCCCTAATTGGCACCGGTTCAGTCCAAACCGGTGCCAAAAATGGCCTACAAAATTGGTGGGAAACTGAACCAGAGTAAAAGGCACCGGTTCACTTCAAATCGGTGCCAAAAACAAATAGGCCACCGGTTTGAACTGGTGCCTTTTGAACCGGAGCCATAAAAAAAACAAAAAAAAAACCGGTCCTTTTAAACCCATGGATCCACCCCAACCCTAAAACTACTCCTCTCATCCTCTTTCTCTCTCCTCTCATCTCCTCCTCTTTCTCCATTCTCGATCTCCTTCTCCTCCTTCTATAGTTTTATTTCTATTTATTTTTCTCGATCTTCTTCTTCTCCTTCTAATTCTCTTTAATTTTTCGATCTCCTTCCTCACAATCACGAAGAACACATGCAACATCTCGATTTTCTGGGTTTTTGAAGACCACATGCAACACCGATTTGTGAGGGAATTTATGGGTTTTGTTTTAATTTTCTGGGTTTTTTGTTTTAATTTATTTTTTAATTGATTTTTTAAAAATTTTAATCTATTTAAATTCTTTTTTTTTTCTAGGTTATTGGTTAGATTGATTTCAATCAAATTTCTTGGTTATTGTTTATCGAATTTTTGGGTTTTTTTTTTTTTTTTTTTTTTAAAAAAAATTTTAATCGATTTTAAGTTGAATCGAATTTTTAATCTTTTTTTTTTAATCAATTTCGATTTTGATTTTTTTTTTTCAGATTTAAATCGGATTTATTTTCGATTTCAATTATTTTTTTGTTTCTGGGTTTTTCGAACACCGATTTTAATTTTTTTGCATTGGTTTTTTTTATTTTAATTTTTTCCAATTTCTGGGTTTATTCGATTTTAATTTTTTTGCATTGGTTTTTTTTATTTTAATTTTTTCCAATTTCTGGGTTTATTCTAATTTTAATTTTTGCATTGGTTTTTTTGATTTTAATTTTTTTTTTCCTGGGTTTTTTCAATTTCAATTTTTTTTTCGTTTTCTGGGTTTATTGGAAAACTGGTTTTTTTTCGATTTCAAGTTTTTTTTTTCTGGGTTTTTTGGATTTCAATTTTTTCTGGGTTTGAGTTTTTTTTTCAATTTTTGGGATTAAATTTCTGGGCTTTTTCTTTCGAAGTTTAATTATATTAATCGATTTTTTTTTGTTTTAATTGGTGCAAGTATGTTATTTAGATTTGAAATCGAAGAAGCAAGATACAAGCAAGAATGAATGAGTTTTTTTTTTTTTTTTGAATTTATATTGTAATTTTTTTTTTAAATTTATGCTGTAATCAAAGTTTTTATATGTTGTAATTTTTTTTTATCATATATTGCAAATTTTCGATTCTTGTTGATATGTTGCAAATTTTCGATTCTTGTTGATATATTGCAAATTTTCGATTCTTGTTGATATGTTGCAAATTTGCTGGAAAAAACAAAACAAAAAAAAGAAAAAAAAATTTGGGCATTTTTGGCACCGGTTTGAACCGGTGCCTTATTAAACCACTTTTGGCACCCCCACATTGGCACCGGTTCAAACCGGTGCCTTAGGCCGAGTTTGAACCGGTGCCAGTTTCATATTTTCACGTAGTGAGCTAGTTCAGAGAGCTAACCACAACTATCTCTAATAGATTAGTATCGTTCAACTTTAGCCTGATAAATTTTAGAGCAGTAGGAATGGAAAAAGCTATGAAAAATGCATTATAATTCTAGTCCAAGCAAACCTGACAAGCAATTACGGAGTACATAAGAAGGGATTAAAGATCAACACTATTCATGAAAAGCAAAATGTTATCACGTACACTATAAAGAACTAAAAAATGGGCAACACTAATAGCTTACTAAAGAGACAACAAAGAAAAATAAATATCAGTTATTATCTCACTATAATGAACTCCATTTAACAATCAATGCATTATGAGACTTTAGCCCTAGTACAAGACAAAAACCAAACACGGAACCCAAAAAAAAGGCAAGTGTTCATTAAAGTTACTCACTTTGTAAAATGCAGTGAAAAAGAGCCAGATTCTGAATATAATCTTGAGTAAATACCACAAATTGAAATTAGTTGAATCTTGAATGGCATATTAACTAGCAGATTTATCAAGTAGAAATTGAAAATCAAAAGCAGATTGAATCTGTATTAAAATTCCACAACAAGTTCACATAATAGCTTTTAGAATTTACTCATGGGTGTATCTTTATGTGCTTGCGGGTTGTGGCTTAGGAACCTAATCCCATATCTAGCAAGCGAAATATGGTTATAAAACATTAATTTCAAAGTTGGTCATGGAATGAAAAGGTACTTGACAAAGCAATTACCTTCTGAATATCTTCTCGTAGAAGAGCTTTGAGATTTTCACAGGATGTCTGTTACTAACAAAAGATATTGTTGAATTCTAAAAATTGTTAACATACAATATTATAGATAATTAGATTACCCTTGACTTTAAAAAATAAGATAAACTTACCCTTGACTAATCACGTATCACAAACATCATAGTTGAATAAAATAGTAATTACTACTTATACAATCTATACATCAATTAATCTACAAGCATACTTGATTAAGGTCTGATATAGCAAAAACAAACAAAAATAAATATAGGAAACAATGTTGCACTTAAAATACAATCTTCAATAGAGGTCTATTTGCTCACTATGTCATGTACATCAATTGTAGATTACTGAGAAAATTCACAAGGACAGAACAATTAGACTATGTACTTACATGTTTTTAAGTACAGTATTGGAAATAACAAGAGTAAAGAGATCACTTTGTTTATCAAAAGTTGTATCATCATAGACATGCAAGATGTCAAGTAGAAGATTTCAGCAATGGGTTAAGTCTGTTCAAACTTCACTATAATAGCTGATACACAACATTTTTACTCCAGCAAGCAAAAATCAAATTTACCAAAATAAATCACTAGTTGCTCTAAAGGGCAAAGATCTCATTAGAATCATCATCTTCCTCCTATTTGAATCCAACCCCAAAATTCGAACCCTAATTCTAACAAATTGAATACAAACCAAAAATTTGAACCTTTATCCTAAACAATAAATAGCAGCAAGCAGCAAGCAGCAAGAAATAAAAAAACAAGTAATTGCAAAGCAAAAAATTCAATAAAACAAAAAACAAAAACAAAATCCCCAATTTCATAGAAATGTGGTTTATATGTACCGTAAAATCAAGAAAAAAAAACGAAATCACCAAAATTAAAACCCGAAATCATAAATTCAACAAATAAATTACCCTTAATCGAAAAAAAAGAAGAAATAAAAATACAATTAGAGGAGCCGATGGTGCCAATTAGTGGTGGTGGTGCGGTTTCAGCTTAAGGTAGAGGTGGTGGTAGCTGCCCGGCGTCGGCTTGAGCAAGGTGGTGGAAGTCACTCTTCATCTTCTCTACGAGGAAAGAGAAAGAAAAAGAGTGGGTTAATTGAATTGAATGAAATAATTCCTTGAATGAATAATACTGTAATTGTTTTTTTGAGGAAAAATGAATAATATTGTATAAAGTAAAGATAAAGGGTGTTTTTATTTTTAATTTTTTTTAATGTTTTTATTTCTAGTACATAAAATACTTGACAAATTTTCTTTATAAAGGGTGTTTTTTTTACTCTTAATAGTGTTACAATAAAGTGTTACTTAATATTCAAGTGTTACAATTAAGTGTTACCTAATATCAAACTGTTACAAACAAGTGTTACTTAATGTCAAAGTGTTACAATAATGTTACTTATGAGTTAGTTAAGTTTCTAGCCATGAAAGTGATACCATGAGGTATTACCTTAGATCATTTTTGTAGTAGTTAGAACTCGAGAATCCTTTTCTCATTTATTTTTCCACAAATAAGAAAATAGTTTTATATAAAAATAAGACTTTTGACTTTCACACACAATGCGAAACTGTATCTATCCTATATGCCTTCTTAAGTCAACCCACAATTTTTTTTAATTACTCCAATTTTAGTCTTTTTATGACTGTAAAACTGATACCACTTTGTAACACCCCCAAATCTCCCACTACGGAATTACTAGTAAAATACGTATAATTATACCGTAGAGATAGACTTAGGCATATTACCGCTGCATGATTACGCAAGACTACCAAAATTACTAAATAAAACCAATACTTTGCAGCGGAAACTTCAATAATCTTTTATTAATAAAACTATACATAATATCCATTGTCACGAGTACTCAAAATAAAGACAAAGAACAACATTCCTAACTGTAGGGAATATTTCAAGCATTACCCCAAACTTGAACCCCACTGTGATCATACACTAAAGCATGGTGGCGTCCAAAGGTAAGGAAGCTAGAGCAAAAGAGTCGCCAACAAGTTTTAGGAACTTGTAAATTAAACCGTTCACAGGGTGAAGGTTACACCCCTTAACGATCCAAGAGATCATCAACTCCAATAGGTCTGGAACCATAACTGGAAGTTCGGGGATGAAGGTACAAATCAAACCTAAAAGAGATTGAACATGCCCAAATAATAGGCCTCTACTTTATTCTTCTCGTATTCGTGTAGGCTTTCTGACTAACATGCAATCAATAGGTTAACCCTAAACCTGTTTAATCTATGTTTGTTGAATATAATGCACAAATAAAACTATTATTGGCGATCACTTGAATTATAATCATATTAACCGTAAACAAGATTATTAATTATCTTATTAAGCGTGATTACAAATACAAATTCCCTTTAAACATGCATAAAAGGCGTGATCAAGCAATAATAATAAATATTAAGCAACATGATAACAATAATAACAATAATGATAATTATAACAATAATGAAAATAACAATCATAACTAGAATAATCATGTTAAAGCATAATAATAGCAAGATCCTAGGCATGATAATAACAAGATTAATAACAAGCCCTAGCATGTTACTAAACATCAAAGATCAAATATATAGCCCTAACATGATACTAACATGAATATTAGGAAAGACAATAAAAGGCATCACAGAAATCATAATTGACATTATATTCTTTACTCTAATCATGATACTAGGAACTTATTGTTGTCACCCTAAACATCAAAATTAAGAAAAGCATCCTAACATGATACTAGGAATCAAAATAGGAACCTAAACATGATTTCTATATCATAATATCAATGAAAATAATTAAAACACTTACTTGGATGCCTCGTATCTCTTTCTAATAACAAAATACACGCGTTAGTAAATTTCAAGGAAAATAATAATCAAACAATTAAATTAAATAATTGAAAGAGAGATTTGAAAGTTTAGACTAGATTTAGGACCAAATCCTTAGAAATTAAACCCTTCACGTCTAGGGCGAAGGCAACTTCAAATTATGCTAGGTGTGTCTAGTGCTAATGTATGAGGAATTTTGTATTTGAGAAAAGGCTAGTTTAGAAAAGAGAGAGAGAGTATCAAGAATTTCTTGATGAGAATTGGTTAGAGTTGATGATTAAAAACGGAGGTTTTAGGAGGCTATTTATATAGAAAATCAGCCGAATATGATAAAAAACAAATTAGAGTTTGAAGAGGAATAAAACACAACGCTGTCGCCAAACACGCGCCTGTCGCCAGGCGCCAGACGTGTCGCTAGACGCCAGTTCTGTCGCCAGGCGACAGACTGCGGTTGCGGCGCTGCAATCAGTTTTTCCACGCATTTTCTTATTTTGATAAAATTTAAACGGACGAGGGGGTAAAACTGTAATTTCCTTAAAAACACTTCTTTTATTCTAATTAAAACTCTTAAAAGTCAATTTATCAATGCTAATCAAATTAGGATTCAAAAGAACCTTCTAGAAGATTCTAGGAGACTATAATCAATCCTAATCGCATTAGGAATGATAAACCAATAATAAGCCCTCCTCTAGATCATTGGGCCGCATATAGAAATCAAACCAGGCCCAGTTTAGTAATTTGGCCATAACTTCCTCATTATTCATCGGAATTGGGCTTATAATATATCGTTGGAAATCTCTTTTCAAACTTGACCCAACTACACTATTATTGGACCCTTTTCATGGACCAAACTAAACTTGATTGGCTGTTTTCGTAAAAAAGGTTTTCAAAAACAGAGAGAAAGAAAAGAATTAAAAACTAACCGCAACACTAGACTTTCCACACTTTCACTTCATTCGATTATGATTCGACGTGTGTAGGCGTCGTTTGAAGTGCGCCTACGTTAAAGCATGTGTGAATATGCTTGACACTAATAGGAAGTGGGAATTGACATAATACGATTAGGGACAAGGAAAGTAGGGAGCCGCCAACAAGTTTTTAAGGAACTTGTAAACCGTTCACAGATCATAAAAGGCAACCACGATAAGGGACAACGATAGGCAACAACAATTGACCCGTGAAGGTTACACCCCATTCATAATCCATGAGATTACTAACTCCATATGGTTCGGAACCACGAAAGGAGGATCGGGGATGATGGTACGAAGTGAGTCATGGAGTCACATTTGCCCGTATTGGCCTCTACTCGATTCTCATAGTGAAAAGTGATCCTGCGATCTCAAAGGCATGTAAACAAAATATTCAATTTGCTCCAAACTATTATTAAGCTAAATTGGTTTAATATTAATGCAACACATAATTCTAAAATATTGTGATCACTTGAATTAACAACAAGATTAAAAAGGAACCTAAACCGCTTGTCCAAATTATCTTATTAGGTGTGATTTTCAATTACATAATTCCCTTTAACATGCAATGTTGTGATCATAAAATATAATAGAGTTATCATTAATATTGGAAGCAATTTAACAATAATTCCAACAATATAAAATCATTAGAAAAATAATAGAAATTAAAGGAACATAATTCTTACTTTGATTCTATTTGCTTGCAACTACAAAATAAAAAAAACGAGTTAGTAACTTCAAGGAAATAATAATAAAACAATAATTAAATTAAATTAAATAAAGTAGACTTGATTTGGGGCCAAACCCTCAAACAGTTCTACCTTTCACGCCTTGGCTTAAGGACAGAACCACGAGTAAAGTACGGACTCCTTGGAGTGCTCAAAGAAGGAATTTTGAAAGAAGAAGGATAGGCTAGAGCATAGAGGAGAGAAAAAATAGAGAATTAATTGATGCTCCGTACATCAGAAATGAGGGGGTATTTATAGAAAAAATGTGTTGAGGGAACACACGGAACCCTAAAATGATAAAAACCCTAAAAAAGTATACCGTGACACGGAAAAGTGTACCGTGACACGGGAAATCCCACCGTTAGACGGGAAACATTCCCGTGACACGGTGTACTTTTTGTGTGACAGGGGAAATATTTAGTGAACGGGGAAGATAACGCGTTAAGGGTTTACGCGGAAAGGACACGGAAACCCCCGTGTCATAGCAGGTGTCCCGTGTCGCGGGGAATCCCATTGTCAGACGGAACAGTTTTCCGTGACACGGTGGGCTGTTGCCGTGACCCGGGAGTTTTCAGTCTGTTTTTCAGTCTATATTCGTTTTTAACCCTAATTTCGTTCAGCATTTTAAGTGTCGATTGATAATTTCGGGACATTTCTAATTTATTATTATTTGGGCTAAAATAAGAAAATAAGTAAATAAAAATAAATAAAAAGTTTGGGCCAAAAATAAATAATAAAAAATAAAAAAGTTTTGGGCTAAAATTAAATAATATGCTTTGACTAAACATCAAGACTGATCCATGGACTATTCAAAAATTGAATTTAATTAAATATGATTTTTTAAGCACTCTTGGGATTAAATACTGAACCCGATCAATAGTGGCGGTGAAAGGTTGTTCATCATCGATTCATCGGGTTTGATTTTGGGGAGACATTTTTAGGTGTCTACAACATGAAAGGTACTTATCACCGTGTTTGGTTTTGGGGAGACACAAATGGGTGTCTACAGAAGCCCCCACTTTGACTGAGTTTGGAGAAACGCAAGTTTCGAAAACAAAAGTCGAAGTAGCGATAGGGACGGAGAATGATTCAGAACGTTCTGCGATCCTAAATCATTCTTGTAACGTCGATACCTTGGAAACTAGCGTTAGTTAAACAGATAAAAGAGTTAAGAAACGTGTATCTTGCACCGTCGAGCACACGTCTCTAGAGGTAACCGATTTGTTGCTGCATTTGCTGTTGTGACAACCTTCCACAAGCTAGGGAACACCATTTTGTTGTTTTGATGTTCTCTCGTCTCTGAACAATGGAGCTTTTTTTTATGTCCACGCGTCTCTGAACAATGAGGTTCTTTTTTGTTTGACGATCTTCCTCAAGCTAGGGGATACCGCCCGAAGACTGCTACGATTGTAACTGCCTCCAATTTCCGCTGTGATAGTCTTCTGCAAGCCAGAGAACTCCATCGAAGATTGCTTCGCCTGAAACGATCCTCAGTTGTTGCGATATTTCGGGTGATGACAATCCTCTTTTCTTTGGGAATAGTTGCCAACACAACTCTTGTATGATGTATGACAATCCGATTTAGTGAAAGTTGTCAATGCTTCGTAACAATCCATCCTTGGAAATGTTGCCACGATGAAGCGACAATCCGTATCTCGAAAAATTTGCCAAAATCCAATTTTGGGAAAAGTTGCCAATGCTTTGTAACAATATTTCATAAGAACTTTGCTACGATCGACAATCCACATCTTGGAATATAACTCTTGAAAGAAATCCACCTTGGAAATTTGCCAATGCTATGCGACAATCCTTTTAGGAAAATATTGCCTCAATTGCCAATCCACGTCTTGGAACATTTGCAAAAAAGAGTCGATCGACAATCCACTTTGGGAAAATTTGCCA